CATCATCGCCAGCATTTCCATAAATACCCACACGCTGTTTTGATTATCAATAAATCATTTAATCGTACCTGTTGATTGTGTGGTCCTTGCTAGTGAATGAGACATAAAGGCTAAAAACAGTTTCATTGCAGAAATAAATGTATGACAGCCACAGTGTCCTCAATAATCTCTCTAACACACACACACACATTGTAAAACCTTAAAGAAAACTTATTTAATTCAAAATAAAACTCCATAATAATAATGTCATGCCTAATTAATGATCAGGAATAAAAAACAGTTTATGCTACATCACTATTTCATAAATAAATGTTATTTATTTTTACAGTTTTTTTTTACAGTATTTTACAGTAGATATTTTTAAAGCCTATCTTTAAAAAAAACTTTAGTTGGAGACCTTGCTGTCACGTCCTCGTCCCCCACTCGTCTGTTCATACAGAGTGTGTCTGTGCTCCTCATCTAATTCAAGGACTTTTTTAAGGACTTTCCTGGCAGAGTTTGATACGGATCAAGGTTACAACACTGATCATTTTTAAAATGAGAACTAGCTTTACAGAAGTTCACAGACACCAATTAAACAGAGCGAGAGGCTTGAATCTGGCTCGCTGGTGGTTTTTGGCTCAGTGACAGCTGCTGTCCGTCAGCGTACTCGGCCAATAAACCTTCTTCTGACTGATTTACTTAAAGATACAAACATTCATCCAGTTTTAAATAAGTCCACTTACTCATTTTCTGAGCAGAAGTGAATACAGTGCCGGTAATCTCTAAACCGTGGATACACATTAATATGGATCCACCTGGCTAAGAGCCAATAAGCGACTTTTGTTGGGGTTTAGGGCCCCGTGGCCAGCAGAGGGCCTCTCAGGCCCCATCCACACCACTGCATTTTGGTTTTAAAACGGAGACCTTTCGCTACGTTTGCACCTCCCGTCCAGACTAAAACGGAGACCTAAAGGAAGTTTGAAAACGCTGCCGACCCCGTTTTTCATTTTCTGGTAGTGTTTTAGTGCAGGCGAGCATAAACAGAGGACTTTACAAACGATGACACAGACGCTCACATTTGGTCTCATTAGCCCAATTCTTTCTGGTGATGTTAGCCTGTGGTGTTGGAACGATCCAAGTCTCTGTCTTCGGGACAAATGATATGAAGTCTTCTCCATCATAACCCCACTCAGTGAAACCATTCACCTCTCCAGTCTCTTCATCCCACTCACAGCCAACCATCCTCTGGAAAACGTGGACACCTGAGAGAGAGAGAGAGATTAAATATAGAAGCATGGCAGGACCATTATGGAGACTGGGAGGCAGTCTGTGTGTCCTGATTGGTCCATCTATCAGTCAATCATTTCATCCACCTGCAGACACAGATAGAGAGGAGGGAAAGGCAGTTCCATTTACTTCTCGCTCCTCATTATTTTGCTTTCTTTATTAACACTATATACTCATTTCATGCGAATCAGAAAAAGTCTGTCATTTCTGTCAGAAAAAGTGTTTCTGGTAGCGGAAATAAAACAACACGTTTTTATACAAAAATCACTTAACTTTTGTTATAGCGACTAAATACTCTTGTTCTACAATTGGCCTAATGTAATTATTTAAATGTGTTCATTATGTTATTTGTTTGTTGTAGCCAGTTTACTAATTAATTTTAAAATTAAGCAATTGTAAAATAATAAAGGCCACAACTGCCGCACTACTGCTGTCATCACTCAGTTTAAAGTGCTCAAACACAGCTGAGGGCTTCTTTTTGTTTTCCCTTTGTCTTGAACTGGAGCGTTACGTTCACTGCTGTGAGCTACTCCGAGTCCTTCTGCAGAAGACTTGAATCAAATTCACAGAAAGACAAGTGTTTGCTATTTATTTGAAAACCTCGGATTGCCAGCACAGTAGTGAGTTTAGTCGGCGAAATCCAACATTTTAAAGTGTGGTACCAGACAGATTTCGTGATTTTGTTTTGCAGTTGTCACATGATCATTCAGGGCATATGGGGGTCAAGAAGACATGTGGCCGTATTTTGCAGTATTTCTTTTGGCCCAGGCTGAAACGGGAGGTGTGAGAGTACATTAGAACATGATACACAGGTCAAATAACTGGTAAGCCAAACCAGGTTATCGAACCTGCTCCGTTGCATCCAGTACCTGCCACTGGTGAACCGTTTCAGCCACTGGTAGACGTTGGGAGTGTAGATGCACACATTTTTGATGAAGCGAGGTGTGGTCAACACGGAAACTCTTAAAAACTTGGATAGGTTGTTGAGTCATTTAGATGAATCGAAGCGTGTTGAGTTGGTGGGGCTAATTCACAGTTTTCCAAGTTTGTTTGGCGACACACCTTCACAAACTCACCTACTGGAACATGATATAGAGTCAACGAGTGTATATAGAGTATAGAGTGTGCGCAGAACAGCTCAAAACCCTAGATGCAGAGGTCAATTAATGCTGGAGAACAACATTGCTGAACCATCTTCTTCTTGTTGGGCTTCGCTGTGCTTGCTTGTACCTAAATCAGATAATATACCTAGATTTTGCTCAGATTTTCAAAATGTTAATAGTGTTACAAAGCCGGACGCATTTCCACTTCCGCGGATGGATGATTGTATCGACCAGGTTGGCTCTGCGAAAATATGATCTGCTCAAAGATTATTGGCAAGTCCTGCTGTCCAAGAGGGCAACGTTTCAGCCATTCTGTCTATTTGGACGATGTAGTGGTCTACAGCAGGGGTCTTTAATTAAAATTCAAAGAGGTCCAGTTGGAGAAAATTTCACGAAGCAAAGGTTCGGAACATCAACTTGCGTTATCATTCAGTAGCCTACCATAACGTATAGCCTGGTTGTATCAACATGTTTTTAGTCAAATCCATAGACTGTATATAAAGGTCAAATCAGATACTATTTCAACAATATTTTGTTATGAGTTGTATTTTTTCCCTGTGGGTTTCTGAGTTTTGCCATTGTTTCATGTGTCCTTCTGTTTGCCTCTGTTTCTCTTGGGTCTGTGTACTTCTGTATTATTTTGTCCATGTTTGCCCTGTGTTCTGTTTAATCTTAGTTCAGTCTGTTTTCCCTGTTAGTTGTAGTTTATTGGTATATTTGTGATCTGTCTGCTTATGTTCTGGATCAGTTATTTATATTGTGTTTCTTCCTGGTTATTAGTTTCCTTATGGCTTTATTGGCGTCTCTCTGTGACTCGTTAGCCTCATGTCTCTCACCTGTGTTGCCCCCGCCCTAGTCATTATCCCTGGTATACAGGTGCTGGTCATAATTAGAATATCATCAAAAAGTTGATTTATTTCAGTAATTCCATTCAAAAAGTGAAACTTGGATATTATATTCGTTCATTACACACAGACTGATATATTTCAAATGTTTATTTCATTTAATTGTTTAAAACTGACAACTAATGAAAATCCCAAATTCAGTATCTCTGAAAATTTTAATATTACTTAAGACCAATACAAAAAAAGGATTTTTAGAAATGTTGGCCAACTGAAAAGTATGAACATGAAAGTATGAGCATGTCCAGCACTCAATACTTAGTTGGGGCTCCTTTTGCCTGAATTACTGCAGCAATGCGGCGTGGCATGGAGTCCATCAGTCTGTGGCACTGCTCAGGTGTTATGAGAGCCCAGGTTGCTCTGATAGTGGCCTTCAGCTCTTCGGCATTGTTGGGTCTGGCGTATCGCATCTTCCTCTTCACAATACCCCATAGATTTTCTATAGGGTTAAGGTCAGGCAAGTTTGCTGGCCAATTAATTATACCACGGTCCTTAAACCAGGTACTGGTAGCTTTGGCACTGTGTGCAGGTGCCAAGTGCTGTTGGAAAATGAAATCTGCATCTCCATAAAGTTGGTCAGCAGCAGGAAGCATGAAGTGCTCTAAAACTTCCTGGTAGACGGCTGCGTTGACCTTGGACCTCAGAAAACACAGTGGACCAACACTAGCAGATGACATGGCACCCAAACCATCACTGACTGTGGAAACTTTACACTGGACTTCAAGCAATGTGGATTCTGTGCCTCTCCTCTCTTCCTCCAGACTCTGGGACCTTGATTTCCAAAGGAAATGCAAAATGTACTTTCATCAGAGAACATAACTTTGGACCACTCAGCAGCAGTCCAGTCCTTTTTGTCTTTAGCCCAGGCGAGACGCTTCTGACGCTGTGTCTTGTTCAAGAGTGGCTTGACACAAGGAATGCGACAGCTGAAACCCATGTCTTGCATACGTCTGTGCGTGGTGGTTCTTGAAGCACTGACTCCAGCTGCAGTCCACTCTTTGTGAATCTCCCCCAAATTTTGAAATAGGTTTTGTTTCACAATCCTCTCCAGGGTGCGGTTATCCCTATTGCTTGGACACTTCTTTCTACCGCATCAATGTGCATGTAAGAATCTACATTCTTGGTTAAACGCCATGTGAAATCTCTTCTCTTCGTGGACTTGACTCGCAATGCTCAGGGCCAGAAACGGCTCTGGCAATGCTTACCGGAATGCACAGATTTGATTGGCTGAGCAGCGTCACATGAGACGATTGGAACACATGCAATTGGTCTGTGAATTTCCTGGGCCGCTAAACCAGAATCTGTTGTTGCTCCCCTCACTGATTTGATGAAGGAAGATATTAAATTTGCGTGGTCTCCTGTCTGTCAGCAGGCTTTTCAGAACGCCAAAGAACTTGTAGTGCTGCAGTCCTGGCCGCTCCTTGTGTTAAGAAGCCGTTCAGCCTGCAATTACGTGGGGGCAGGTGCAGTATTGATGCAGTCTGACAGGATGTAGACAGACCTGTGGGTTTCTACTCTAAGAAATTTAACAAGCATCCACTTAACTATTCTGTGATCGAGAAATAGACTGTGGCTTTAGTGTGGGCGTTGACTCATTTTGATGTGCATGTGGGTTCTGGGGTTGTAGTCTTTACATTTCTCAATTCTTTGAAATGTCCCAATCAGAGATTAATCAGATGGTCTCTTATGTTACTGTCATACTGTTTGGTGGCGTCCCCGGGACGTCTGGTTGCTGAGTATGTCAGTACTGGTAGTAGTCATCTTCAGGCAATGGAGCCACCCAGTAAACACCATTCTTCTTTTTGTAAGTGATGAATCCAATCACAGCGAAGAGGACAAGAAGAAGAAAAAGCACTCCAGCAATGATGGGCAGGGTGATGTTAGTGGGCTTCTCTGTTGAGCAGAAAACAACAAGAAATAGTCACAAAGATGAAGCAGGTTAGAGGAGAAGAACACCAGACCTCCGTCCTGTATATCGACACTATATGTTGTCTTTTCCGGCTGTGAAAGGTTCAGTAGGTAAGTTAGAATTTTTTTTTTTTACTGCCATATTTGCTAAAGCTGTCGCCATATCCTGACAGTAGCAGGAGTTCAAGGAGTCCTGATTCTCCAAGCGACCCTGTATGCAGGATAAATGGTTGATGATGGATGAATGGAGTCCTGATTCTTGTGTCTGAACAGACAGGTTTGAGAAAATCTTACGCATGTGTTAGAGCTTTAGGAAGTTACAATATGAGGCTAAAAACTGTTAGCATGACGTTACCCTTAAACAGCTGGATGACATAATTTTGTTAAAATAGCAGGACGGGGTTGAGCTAAAAGATCTTGGGGAAGTTGAGCCAGATATTTGCTGTAATTTTACATTACATTCTTATGCATCACTAATAATGTGACATTATGCTTTTTAGACCAGAAACCATCATGTCATGCTTCTATAAATGGAAGACAGACAGGCTTCAACTCCTGTTGTGGGTTTGGACAGAGTTATTGGAGAGGTACACAAATAAGAAGTCAATTCAACGGGTGGCACGGGACATGACGGAAAACAGGATGACTTTAAAGTACATTGTTGTCCCCGACCCCCATGTGGCTCAACTTACACCTCATATGGGGCAAGTTGAGCCAAGAGTCCACTTTCTTTTGGAAAGCCATATTTTGAAAACAGTTTATTTTAGATCCAAATTGATTATTCCCAGAGATGCACCACATCCTAAAATACATGTTTTAGTTGGAGACCTTACTGTCATGTCCTCACTTTGAAGACACCCCCACTCGTCTGTTCATACAGAGTGTGTCTGTGCTCCTCATCTAATTCAAGGACTTTTTTAAGGACTTTCCTGGCAGAGTTTGATACGGATCAAGGTTACAACACTGATCATTTTTAAAATGAGAACTAGCTTTACGGAAGTTCACAGACACCAATTAAACAGAGCGAGAGGCTTGAATCTGGCTCGCTGGTGGTTTTTGGCTCAGTGACAGCTGCTGACCGTCAGCGTACTCGGCCAATAAACCTTCTTCTGACTGATTTACTAAAAGATACAAACATTCATCCAGTTTTAAATAATTCCACTTACTCATTTTCTGAGCAGAAGTGAATACAATGCCGGTAATCTCTAAACCGTGGATACACATTAATATGGATCCACCTGGCTAAGAGCCAATAAGCGACTTTTGTTGGGGTTTAGGGCCCCGTGGCCAGCAGAGGGCCTCTTAGGCCCCATCCACACCACTGCATTTTGGTTTTAAAACGCAGACCTTTTGCTACGTTTGCACCTCCCGTCCAGACTAAAACAGAGACCTAAAGGAAGTTTGAAAACGCTGCCGACCCCGTTTTTCATTTTGAAACTCCGGGTAGTGTTTTAGTGCGGGCGGGCAAAAACGGAGGACTTCAGAAACGAAGACGCAGACGCTCACGCTCGGCTCTCTGATTGGGTCTTATAGGTCATGGGAAGCAGAAACACGATGTTACTGATGGTGTCTTTATTAAAATATGTTGTACTGTGTAAATAACACTTGTACCGTGCATGTTGCCGTATTTGCTTAGTCTGTTTTCTGCTGCCACCGCTGCTTTTAACTCCCGTGTTACATTCAGTCCCAGCTCGTTATTGGTCCATGCAAAATAAAATCTGCTGCGGTTCTTCGTCTGTATTACTTTATTCTTTTGCCAAATCTTCTGAAACTACAGAACAGACCATCTGCTTCATGATTACACCGGCACGCGCATGCCTAGTGTACGTGAACCAGGTGTGCGTTTTTAGTCGTTTTAATATAGACGGAGATCAACTCTGATACGCAGGACGGAGATCGTATTTAAAACTGTTTAAACTAAAACAGAGTTGTGCGGATGGGGCCGAAGAGTCACTGTTAAAACTAGCCTCTATTGGAAACAGCTTCTAACCAGATCTCTTGGCAGACCTGGTGTAAATTGTTCAAGTTAATAGAGCCTGTCCTGTTTAGTCTTTTCTTCAATCAAGTGTTCAAATGCATGGATAAAAGACTGATATGTCAGTGGGTTACTGTCAAACACTGCAGTCTCCCTTGCAGGTAGCAGAGCCAGTTTCTGTTGTGAAATAATAAGTTCAGCAATGTCACTTTGCCTTTGAATAACCATGTTCATGTTATCATGAGCACTGTGATCTACAGCTGGATTGATTAGATCACTGTCATCGTGCACACTGTGCTGCTGTCCAAGCATGTCAGTCTCCTGTTGGCTGAAGATCAGATAAGAGCATTTGCACAGATTAGTGAGTGTTTTTAAATTCAGACACAGCAACTTTAAAAGTTTCATCTACATTTCCATCATCTTCCATCAGAACCTTTATTTCATTTATCTGTCGTGTACACACTCCCACTCTGACCCTCCATGATGCAATGCAGGATTTATATAACTCCGCCTTGTCGGACATTGTCACAGATAAATCACCCTTTTAGTTGCCGTTCTTATTATTCTCTGGTATCCTTCAGTGGGTATTTAATATTCTGTTCATCATTTATTTTCATTTCACATCTCGTCCAGAATGTCAATGATCCAGCACATCCACAGCACTGCGGCACTTTCATTCATTCATAAATTCAATCAGCTGGTTTTACTCACGGCCCATCCGGCTTGTTTTTCTCCATAGACGTGTGATCGGCAGCATCCAGAGTTTCCCCATTTGTTCTCAATAATATAACTCATAAAGAAACGGGTTGACATATACAAAGAAAGCTGTTTGTTTAGCTGCTATTAAAGATTTATCTTTGGTTAGAGGGGCCTTCAACTAAATTTTGACTAGGGCCCCCAAAGATCTGAGGCCGGCTCTGAAGAAAAAGCTCTTTGTACAGTATTTCTTTACAATGATTTAGGAACTAAAAGAAAACGTTGTGGTGGAAAAGGATAATTCCTTTAAAGCCCTTTAAAAGTTTGACTTGACAGATTTTTATAGGGATTTGCTGATCCTGAAGTCAGAGTGCAGAGGTGGGCGTGTGCATTAGTTTAAAACTGATATAAGCCTTAAAATTATATATCAAACAAGATTTAAACGTCCTGTAAATAAAAACACATGAACTAAGTAAAATAAATGCGCGTCTCCCACCTTCTACATTTCTGTTGGTCCTGATGTTTGCTTTGTCCAGTTTGGTGACGATGTCGTCCTTCCAACCAGAGAGCTGAAAAACACATTCGTACTTCCCCCAGTTTTCAGGTGGAGCATTCAGGTCAACGCTCATCTGGAAGGATCCATCGTTGTTGGGGAGGATCTTCACGTCCTCGTGGAGCTCCTCCCCATCTTTCCTCCAGAACATCTTGGCTCTGTCGGGGTAAAAACCTGTAGCGTGGCAGCTGATTGGAGAGGAGGGAGTCTTCTGGAGGAGAGACACTGAGGGAAGGTCTGGAGAGTAAAGAGAAAGTTTAAAGGCTCTTTATTATGATTTACTGAAAATTATTATTATCATTGTTGTTCAGAGCATTTTAAATGCCTTAGTAACACGAACACTATATACACACCATATATATGCAATGCATACTGCCCATACAACCAATGGGAAGGCGTGACATTGCAGGTAAATAGATGAAATACAATAAATGGAAGTGAAAGATAATTGATGAACAGATAAGAAATTAGAAGATAGTGGAGGCCCTTCTTGGAGCCACAAACAACAGGTCCCAAGCACCCTGAAGGCAAGTATGACCAGTTATATTAAAATCTTAACCTTTTTTAAATTAATTTAATTAAATATTTTTTATTAATAAAAAACTAGATATTAAAACAATGTGAAGCACAAATAAGACACACACTAGCTGACATGTTCAAATCCCACCGCCTATGCGGCCGATCCCTACCTGGGCTAAGTTAGCCTCCCCCTAATGTCACATGGGGCGCTCCTCATAACAGCGGTTGCCACCTGCTACGCTGCGGCCAGACGCCATCCTGACCCTGGGCTCTCTTTACGGACACGCAGCGTGCCAGCTCTTCATGCGGAGGACAGAAGCATAACACTCCCACCGCTCATCGGCTAATCACCGCGCGCACCGCTGAACTGCCGGTCCCGCCAGACCAACTGCCCGCAACGTTAGTTCCCCCGGCTTCATATCCATTCGAAATGTAGGCTTATTTAGGTCCTAGAAAACAAATAAACAAAAACTAAGGACATTTACTCAGTTTTAGTTAGTTTTGCGAACCTACAATACAGTTTTAGTTAGTTTCATGTAAAGCCTTACGTCGTTACTTCGTTTGTCTTCATTAACAATAACAACCTTGCAATGAACACAGTTAAAACAGACAAAAAAGAAACAATTTAACTACGTAGCCTACTTAACCATGGCAGAAGCACAAAAATCAAGGACAACTGAAGATATAAGCAAAATCTGTACAAGTCAGCAAAATCAGACTGGCAAAACGCTCTTATTCTGAAATGCTCCATGTGGATATGTAACGCAGAGATTTGAAAGGGGTGCTGAAACGATATATTGTGCTACTGCAAACTTCTGTGCATGCTGTGTGTGGCACAGTGTTACACTGTACTTGATCGTGGTGGCCTGGCCCTTGTAGACACTGCATTGTGTCGCCCTTCTCCCGTCATTGACACGGACCATTCCCATCGCCCCTTACCCGAACCTTACTAGTCACAACCACATCCACAAAGCTGGTCGAACCCTACAAGTAAAGTAGAATCCCGGTTTTTGACCCCCCCAAATACAATAAAACAAGCCCACCGTCACACACACACACTCACCCTCTGCACATTTGCTTAATGCAGACAGTGCAGACGCTTTGCTGCTTGCTCTTGCCTCTGCTTGCATTCTTTTGCTTAAACTCTCTTTTTTTTCCTGCTAGAAATCAGCAGCTCTTGGATACTTTTAAATCACTGGGACTGTCAGATAAAGTTGGCTCTTGCCATACTTTAAAACCTTTTATGATCTTAGTGCTATGTGAGTGTAGCCTATCAATAGCACTAGCCTGTACTGCAGTGACTGGAGCTATAGCTAATGCTAATTAGCAACAAGATGCCCCCCTTCTCCATGGACGACTTCTACAAACTTCTACAGAAAATTACTGTGCTGGAAACCAAGATCCACAGGTTAGAAGTGAATGTAGAAGTGAATGGATTATGTGGGAATGACACCACTTTACCGTGGACCCAAAACAGTGGACAAGACCATGCTAACACATGGCTAATTAGCACCAACAAGACTACCAAGAAGCAGGAGGCCTGTGTACTGGGTAATAAAGCTGAAAGTGGGAGTCCTCCCTGGAACGCTCTTGGTGCAAAGCCTAAGAGTAAATCATTTCCTGGGGAAATGGGAGGACGAGTAACAGGCAGAACCCGGCGCCCTGAGATTTGTGATGCGACTGGCTGGCCTGCATTATCATCCAGGCAGAGCGCCTCTTCAACCCCTGTTCTTGGTAGGACACAGCCGTGGACAGCTGCGAATGGGAGAGTTAGCAACAAACCTCCCGAACAACCGAGTGTGCAACAGCAGAACAGATCGGGACCAATGATGTTGTGAAGCAACAGTCTGAAGTGTTGAAAGAGGACTTTAATAATCTGTTGAACACTGAGGTGTTTATCAGTGGCCCTATACCGCCAATCCGAAGAGGAGCTGAGAGATTCAGCAGATTGATGGCTTTGAACACGCGGCTCTCAACAGCATGTACTGTCCATTCAGTGCATTTCATCAAAAACTGTTACTTTCTGTGGGACCGCAGACATCTTTGTAAGGCAGATGGACTTCGCCTTAACAAGTCAGGAGTAAAATTGTTCAGCTCCAACCTGTTTTACTTTCTGCGTCACTCATCTGTTCCCTCTGCAAAAGACAAGAGACAGGAGGAATCTAAACAAGAAGAAGACACAACACAACACACCAGAAACCTTGAAGAAGAGCTCTGATAACGGGAGACATCTGAGCCAAGAGGAAGAGCCTCCCTCACTGAAAACCAACAGTGAGGATTCAACATCTCTACCCCCCCCAATCAGACAGCCTTTCTCCCCTCTCCCCCCTGTTGGACTTCACTGATCACATGGAAGACCTGGTTAGAGCTGGGACCAAATTTACTCCCCGCACCTTCCCTCACTCCACTCCCATTTTCTCTACCCTAAACCCCCCCTCACCGTCCACCTCCACCACTGGTTCTAAGTCCTCCAGGTTTGACACGTGTCACAAATACAGCGCCCAACACGCCCTCCCGCTCCACAATGGCGAAAAAGCCCAGTAAGCTCTCTGATATGTGCTGGGTCCAGGCTACAAGGAAAATAACACTCATGACTCTTCCCGGGACAAGCCGGGGCCCAATGTGCTGGTAGTCTTCTCCATCCCTGTCTTGACAGGTAACAGAAAAAGCACGGTGAATGTGTTAAGAAACAGGAAGCACTCAACATATCCTGCAAATTTAGTATTAATTCCTCGTCAGCCGCAACCTGTCGAAAAAAGTGGGCCAGATAATGTTTTTAACACACTAAAATTAGCTTTGTTAAACGTTAGGTCTTTGGCAGGAAAAACGTTTTTAATCAATGATTTTATAATCACTCACAATCTTAATTTCATGTTTTTAACTGAAACTTGGTTGGACCAAGATAACAGTGCAGCTGTCCTTATCGAGTCTACCCCTCCCAACTTCAGTTTTATGAGTGAAGCTAGAGTGCATAAGAGAGGAGGTGGAGTTGCCATTTTGTTTAATGACTCCCTCCAATGCAAAAAGATGTCTTATGGGAATGTTGCTTCTTTTGAATATGCAGCTCTTCAGCTGAATTCGTCTTCTCGAGCTATTTTTCTAAATATCTACAGGCCCCCTAAATACTGTGCAAACTTTTTTGATGACTTTGGTGAACTGCTGTCTATAATCTGTATTGACTTTGTCTGTGTGGTTATTGTTGGTGATTTTAACATCCATGTGTTAAACTGTACAACTGTGTTGTGTTCTTGATAATTATGGACTGACTCAACATGTGACGAGGCCCACGCACAATAAGGGGCACACTTTGGACTTTTTCATCTCCAAGGGTCTGGACATTTCCAAGGTTGTGGTGACTGATGTTGCTCTCTCTGATCATTCCTGTGTTTTCTTTGAGAGTGATATCTACGTGCACACAAATGTTAAAACAGAGGTGATCACAAAACAGCATATCACTGAAAAATTTATTGAGGCTTTCTCCTCAACACCCGCCCTCTCACAGGTCTCAGTCAATGAGCTTGTAGATAATTTCAGTTCTAAAATTACAAATGTTCTTGATGCCATTGCACCAGCCAAGGTGAAGGTGGTCTCTGGTAAGAGAAGATCTCCATGGAGAAATGCCACGCTGGTTAGAACTCAAAAAAGAGAGTGTCGAAAAAGCTGAACGCAGGTGGCGGAAAACAAATCTCCAGGTACATTATGACATCTATAAAGAGAGACTTTGCATTTATAATTTAGAGCTGAGAAATGCAAGGCGGCCCTTCTTCTCTGACATCATCACCAAAAACACTAATAATGCTCGTGCCCTGTTTGCTACTGTCGACAGACTAACCAACCCTCCTGTGTCTGTAGCCTCTGAACTTCTATCCACCAGGGCCTTCAATGCTTTGCTTCCTCCTTCACAGACAAAATTCAAACAATTAGACAAGTAATCAGTGCCTCCATGTCAGTAACAGGATATGTCTTGTCCCTGTGTCCACTTAAAAACAATTCATATAGCATGAGACAATTTGATTCTATTAACCATAAAAACCTGGAGGACATAATACAACATCTGAAATCCTCCTCATGCTGCCTTGATATTCTGCCAACAGGTTTTTCAAAAATGTGTCTAAATGCTTGGCCTCAGATTTACTACAAATTGTCAACATGTCTCTCCTCTCAGGTTTTTCCCCACAGGCCCTGAAAACTGCAGTCATTAAGCCACTCTTAAAAAAGAGCAATCTAGACAGGTCACTAATGAGCAATTATAGGCCCATATCAAATCTCCCATTTTTAAGTAAAATCATTGAAAAGGCTGTTTTTCAACAGCTTAGTGCTTTCTTGGCACTAAATAACTGTTTTGATGTCTTCCAGTCAGGTTTTCGACCAAACCACAGCACTGAGACGGCTCTTGTTAAGGTCTTCAATGACATCCATTTAAACACTGACAGTGGCAGAATTTCAGTCTTAGTATTATTGGATCTCAGTGCTGCATTCGACACGGTCGACCACAACATATTACTAGACAGACTTGAAAACTGGGTTGGACTTTCTGGCACAGTACTAAACTGGTTTGAATCCTACTTAAAGGACGGGGACTACTTTGTGTCTATAGGTAATTACTCATCTGAGCTGACAAAAATGACATGTGGAGTTCCCCAAGGCTCCATTCTGGGGCCTCTTTTGTTTAACATTTACATGCTTCCACTGGCTCAGATTATGAAAAACAACAAAATATGTTACCATAATTATGCAGATGACACACAGATTTACATAACCATATCACCAGTGGACTATGATCCCATACAGGTGTTGAGTAACTGTATTGAACAGGTCAATGATTGGATGTGCCCGAATTTTCTTCAATTAAACAAGGATAAAACTGAAGTTATTGTTTTTGGAGCCAGGGAGGAATGATTGAAAGTCAGTGCTCGACTTCAATCTGTAATGTTAAGAACCATAAATCAAACCATAAATCTTGGTGTAGTCATGGACTCAGACCTGAATTTGAGGAGCCACATTAAGACAATTACAAAGTCAGCCTACTACTAAAAGCTTATCCATGCATTTATCTTCAGTGTCCTTACAGGGCTCCCTAAGAAATCCATCAGACAGCTGCAGCTGATTCAGAACGCTGCTGCTCGAGTCCTCACTAAGACCAAAATGGTGGATCACTCCAGTTCTGAGGTCTTTACATTGGCTTCCTGTAAGTCAAAGAACTGATTTCAAAATCCTGTTGTTAGTTTATAAAGCACTGAATGGTTTAGGGCCAAAATACATTTCTGATCTTCTGCTTCGTTACGAACCATCCAGACCTCTCAGGTCGTCTGGGGCAGGTCTGCTTTCTGTCTCCAGAGTCAAAACTAAACAAGGAGAAGCAGCATTCAGTTATTATGATCCGTATATTTGGAACAAACTCTCAGATAACTGCAGGTCTGCTGAAACAGTCAGTTCTTTTAAATTAAGACTGAAGACTTTTCTTTTTACCTTTGCCTTTAATTAAATATTTAAGATTTTTCTTTTTATTGATAACTTACACTGCAATCTAACTTTTACTGTCCTGTTTTCTTTTTCTTTGTTTTTAGCTTTTTATCATTGCTTTTATCTATTTAACTCTTTTAACCCCGATTGTAACACTGTAAGTTTTATTATATTTTATGCTGCTTTTAAACTTTTACATATTTCCCTGTTGGTTTTATGTTTTATGTAAAGCACTTTGAATTACCTTGTTGTTAAAATGTGCTATACAAATAAACTTGCCTTGCCTTGCCTTGCCTAATGCTGTACGCCTGTTGTTTGGCTTACATGAATTGTTGTGTCCATGAAACTACATCCGGTCATGTGATTTTACCTGTTCTCAACAGAGAGCTCCTCCCATAGCTCACAAACGTCTTCAGCCAGTCAGGGCAAATCTGTCTGAAATAGGTCCTGGTCTGTGCCATATAGTTTCTGTTAGTAGCCCACTTCTTTCTGGTGATGTTAGCCTGTGGTATTGGAACGATCCAAGTCTCTGTCTTCGGGAAAAATGATATGAAGTCTTCTCCATCATAACCCCACTCAGTGAAACCATTCACCTCTCCAGTCTCTTCATCCCACTCACAGCCAACCATCCTCTGGAAAACGTGGACACCTGAGAGAGAGAGAGAGATTAAATATAGAAGCACGGCAGGACCACTCTATTAGCTTTCTACTATAGTCAATAAGTTTGCAGTCAAAAACTTCTCTGGAGGCGGTCAAGAGTCGGTGCAAAAGAGTTTATTCCAATATAGGACAGGTAAACCCGTGCATCATCCCTGCAGGTCAAAGCATGTTTCTGTCGTGTTTTTGCACACCATCTTTCTTGTTGACACATTACAAGTTTACTCAAAGTTTGCACAGGCTATAATAAACAAAGGTTGGAAGCTGACAATCAAACCCTTAACCAGTAATTAAACATGTAGTCATAACATCAGCAGATTAAAACATCTGCAGTCCCTCCTGTAGTCAAAGTCAACAGTAGAAGAAAGCGTGTATGGTCACAGCGTCAGCAGTCAATACTTTTACTGAAAGATCTAACCACAGTGAGCTTGTCACTGTATTCATAACTACAGTATAGTAAAAAAATAAGGCACATCTAGGTAAAAAGATTAATTGAGGATAATAAAATAATTAAGAATGATAAATTTACACAACACCATCTATCAGTCAATCATTTTTTCCACCTGCAGAAACTGGCTGGATGCTTCCTGCTGGGACGGACCAACACACTGTGTGGTCAGTATCAATCAATCAATCTTTATTTATATAGCACTTTTCATACAAATACATGTAACACAAAGTGCTTCACACTACAGAGCCATTTCAAAACAATAGTTTAAAAAAACATCCCCTCCAACCCAAAACACTAAGACCCCAGGACAAAAAGCACTAGAAAAGCAGCCCATCAGTAGAAAAAGTATAATAAATAAGTAACGTTTTAACTAAATCAAATAAATACAGATCAGTTAAAAGCTTGGTTAAAAACGTATGTATGGGCTGATTTTTGTGTCAGTACAGACTGAATTTGAATAATTTAGAACTGAATTTGAATTGCTCAACTTGAATACTTGGATTAAAAAACTAAATTTGAATTTATTAGTTTGAAACTGAATTCCAATAAACTTGAAACTGAATGTGATATTATGAATCTAAACTGAAACAATGCATTATTAACAACTCACTTACTTATAAATGCCATTGCTACAAGAGCTCTACAACTGCTAGGCTAAATTGTAAATTGAGTAACGGGATGTTATGAATTGGCTAACTGAGCAAGAGACACGTTTGGAACTTCAAATATCTTTATTGCTCAGTAGTGTTTCCTTTACTGTGCAGAATATTGCAGAGTGCAGCGTAAATATGTAAATGCCAGTGTTTGTAGTATGATACACTAACTTTTTGGAAGACCAGAGCATTACTATAATCAATCCTGGGGGGTAATAAAAGCATGAATAAGTGTCTCTGTATTTGCTTGAGAGAGAAAGGGTCATACTCTAGCAATGTTCTTGAGATGACAAAAAGCAATCAATAAGAAATATTTCTTATATGTGACTCAAAACTGAGATCTGAGTCTGAGCTCATTAACAATATTTACCAACACTGTCTCAGGACTGTGATTGGTTCGTATCATAAACATTGTGGAAGTTAATAAAATTGGTCAGTTTATTAAAAACAACTTTCTCTAAATTTCACTTTGGAATGGCAGATTGTAGTTATTGAGTACTGTAGCATCTAAATTATTCTTCTTCAGAAGGGGCTTCACCATAGCAGTTTTAAAGGCAGTAGGGAAAACACCCATCTGTAGGGAATAGTTCACGATGGTCAGAAGATAATCACTAAAAAAGGCATAATGTCAGGCAAGTTGTTGGTTTCAGTAGAGTAACAATTTTACAAAGCATGTCAGAGTCAACCAGGTCAACACTATGCAGTGTTTCCCCAGATGTACATATAGGATCCACTTTATTAAAGTGTACCTGCTGATGTATAGCAGTACAGCAGAGTTACATTTACATTTATTCATTTAGCTGACGCTTTTATCCAAAGCGACTTACAATTGCTATACATGTCAGAGGTCGCACGCCTCTGGAGCAACGAGGGATTAAGTGTCTTGCTCAGGGTCACAGTGGGGGATTGAACCTGAGTCTCTCACACCCCAGTGAATCTAATCTGTAATTCTGTGTACAGCTGTGTGACGTCTCCATGAACGCCTGGTTGTGTCTGGATGACTACGTCTGGAGTATCCATGTGTGTGTTCTGTTGTAGGCGTCAGTAGGGCTGCTCGTCGGCATCTTCAGGTATTGGAGCCACCTGGGGCCCAGTGTTTTCCATAGGGCCTATATAAAGCAGATCCTACCTGTGGCACTTTGGGAGATAGAGAGGAGGGAAATGCAGTTCCCTTTACTCTTCACTCCTCATAATTTGGCTTTCTTTATTAACACTACATTGCACTTATTTCATGGTGACATGGTGATGTTAAATCTTCAGCACTGGCTGCTTCGGTAACGAGTGTGAGTGTAGATCTGCCATCTCGTCAGGAAAGTGAAAAATCTCCTGATGAGATTGATGCTGCATATTTGCTTCTTACTGAAGACGGCGAGAAAGTGCCTATTAAGATATTCAGGTGGTTTGGGTGTCACATTCTGCCTCCCCAGTGGTCTTGTTATACCGATTGTTTTATTGTGTTTTGATAAAAAGGCTGTCATTTCACAAACTGAAAATGCCCATGATGTTCTGCTGAGTGAGGGAGGATCAGATGGGGGAGAGATAAAGGCGGCATGGGTGCGGTCTGTCTGTGTGTGCATGAGAGAGAGAGAAAAAGAGACAGAGCGCTTTCTTTATTTATTCTCAAAGCCCGGCTAATTAAGTGATTAGGCTGTTAAGGGAGACGACTGAAGCACTTTTCCTATACGTCATACCAGGTGTTAGATTGTTTAAATGTGTTCTTTTCTAAGAAGTCAGCCGGGCTGAATGTGCAAGGAGACAGTTCAGCAGAACAGTTTCTGCAAACGGCCATTTTTGCATCTTTCTCGGCCCTTTAAAATGCTTCTACACTGCGGACATGTCAACGTAATTGTTCGGTAAAATTTAACCTGTTTTCACTTATTAGGCCGAACTCTGAAAATGCTATTTTTGCCATTTTCGGCTGATTAATTTCAGATGCCGAACATTCAGGGCATCCCTTAAAACATTTGTCCTTATCAAAATGTTTGAAATATCACGTGCCTTTGATCTGTTTCTAGAAGAGTCACACAGTACAAAAGTATTGAAATATCTGGTTTCTGCTATTGAAAACTAATAAATGGCAGCTTTTTGTTCTAGTTTCCTGCATTTCACACATGCAGCATTAAAAAACTTGTTCCACATCAGCAACCATAGTGATCATGTTTACATGGCAGACACGATGTGATCTAAAGAAATGCGACTATGGAATCAAATAAAACATTGAAAGTGTGAAAAGTGAAACAAAAACAAACCTCCTATTTGGTTGAAGCACTTCTTCAAAAAGTCAATGGTGGATATGAAGGTCTGCTGTGTGTCCTTACAGTTACGAGCTTTCGCCTCCCAGAAGTTAGGATACTCTTCTGTGACTCTGCTCATCCAGTCTTGTCTGGGTTCTGCTCTCCTGGTGTTACTGTCGTAGTGAAACACCTGAACTTCATCAACCAACCCAACAGCCACAAACTCTGGGAAGTTTGGGACTCCAGAAGACGCAGTGTAGAAATGCTTCAGAGAGTGAGTCACTGGAAGAAAAAGTTCAGTTTTCATGTCACAGTTTAAAAAAATCAATGAACAACATTATTTTCCTGCACACAGAATCAAAAAGAACAACAATACAAAACCTCCTAATTATCTCTTCTGTGCACTCAAACACATTTAAAGAAAAAAATATGTTGCTCCAGAAACTTTTACTTTAAAGGTTCAGTGTGTAAGGTTTAGGACCCCTCCACACTACTGTGTTTTCAAATTAAAACGGAACTTTTTCAATTAAAACTTTTGCTATGTGAGACCCTCCCATCCAGACTACAACGGCGAAAATGAAGACCTAAAACAGAGAAGTTTGGAAGTGCTGCCGACCCCGTTTTGTAGGGTAGGAATAATTGGGAGCCTAAATAAGACATCGGCTCCCCTGAAATATTTTGTAGGTCTCTTAAATATTGACAGCATGCTTTATTGCCAATAATTTCTATATATTTCTCTATCATCATGGATCCATGCGTAAATTCAGTAGCCTCTGACTTCATCCAGCCTGAAGGAACCGACCGTCCGCAGCGGACCGGTCGCTCCGCGATCTCCTGTCCCTGGTCCGACTCACTCCCTCTCCGGTACGGGTTGTGTCGCTAGTACGGCTGTAAACGGTTCGTGATCCTTCTGTGTGGCTGGATATTATACTGCAGGGCTCTCCACAGCACCACGCAACTTTTCAAAATTCTTCCCTCCCTTATTTATTTATTCTTTCGCCAAATCTTCTCTAACTACAGAAAAGACCATCTGCTTCATGTTTACAGCGGCGTGCGCACGCCAAGTGGAACCGAACGGGCACGGGATGCGCGTTTTCACATGTTTTAATGTGAACGGAGATTGTATTCGTTTTAATTGGCCGTTTGTAAACTAAAAAGGAGTAGTGTGGATGGGGCCTCAGTGGCATCTAGTGTCTCACGATGCATTCAGGTGGACGATTCATACGTACAGAGTGTGTCTGTGCTGCTTAATCATTATCTGGCTTTATTGTCTTTGTTCAATTCAAGGACTTTTTTAAGGACTTTCCAGGCAGAGTTTGAGATACGGATCAAGGTTACAACACTGATCATTATTATAATGAGAACTAGCTTTACAGAAGTTCACAGACACCAATTAAACAGAGCGAGAGGCTTGAATCTGGCTCGCTGGTGGTTTTTGGCTCAGTGACAGCTGCAGACCGTCAGCGTACTCGGCCAATAAACCTTCTTCTGACTGATTTACTTAAAGATACAAACATTTATTCATTTAGCTGACGCTTTTATGCCAGTTACAGGGGTATTACACTTCTCAGGGCCACAATGGTGGATGGTCAGGAGTTGAACCTGGGTCTCTCACACCAAAGGCACGTGTGTCTTATCATTGTTAATAGGGCAGGTCTCTGTAACGACGTGGGCACAACCAGGCACGTGCACACATAGACATAAAAAGGGGCTTCAGCACCTGCCCTTTTTCTACTTCAAGAGAACGTGCCCTTTTTTTCAGGGGTTCTTTTTAAAAAATAAATAAATTAATATATAGTATATTTATTCCTGTTTTTCGCACAGCTTCCCTGTCAAACAAATATATTTTTTGGGGGGAACTAAATCTCTCTCTCTCTCTCTCTCTCCGCCTCCCCCTGCAGCACCACAGACAGACAGACAGACAGACAGACAGCAGCCACTCCCAGCTTAGTTGGAGCTTAGCTAAGGCAATTTATCATGGCCATACAAACTAATATAGCCTACTGTACTTAATGGAGACACTGCAGGTGAACACAGTAACATTTGTGTGTAATAACGTCATCACAATCGCCATAGTGATATGCAAATTATGCGTTAACTAATTAAAATGCGCTCATTTGCACATATTTGACAAATCACTGCAGGTAAATAGGATAAACAAAATAACTGAAGCATGTCACCACAGAACTGTTGATGTGACTTACATCAAGAGTATTTTCCTCTGAAATGTTGTAAATATACAGATTAACTTGTTTTATTTCCATTAGAGTAAAAGAAGACATGGAAGCAAAATAGACCAAAGTCTCAAACCACAATTAAAAAGTGTCCTGCCTTAAACAGTAACTTCATAGTTTTGATGGTCGGCTCCTCATCTGATAACTATCCATTCTATTAGTTTGTTGTGTGCTGAGAGATCCTTACATAATGCAGACAGCCCACCCTCAAAAGTCCATGTCACCATCAGTAATTGTGTGTGTGTGTCATTTGGCATCTTGCTTATGAAACAAAAAGTATTAAAATAAAATTTATTTTAAATCATGCCTGCAGCCCAATTTAGGCACACAGAGCCACAGTTTAGTGTGAATATTTTTGTTGATTTTATAATATTATGTAGGCTATTACACCAAAAGAATGAAAACGATTTATTGCCTTGTAAAAAATAAACAAATTATTAATGAAACTATGTCCCTCTGCTGGGTGCAGTCATTTAGTAGTTTGCTTTGCTGTTGCCTGCTCCTGTGATGAACCTAGTGAAGGTCGTGGCCTCTGTGAACTGATTATTTTGTAGAGAAGTAAAAATGTTGAGTATTAGTCAATTGTGTAAGTGTGAGAGAATATATATTGGAAGAAAGTAAGAGTTGTGGTAATATATTATGGTAAATAATTATGAGAAGTGCCCTTTTTTCCACTTGAGCCCCTGGGCACAACAGGCTCTTTAGGAGCAAAGTCCGAGTTGGGCCAACATGGCTCCTCCTGGCTCTCTGTCCTCTAAGCGATCACCGCACCTGCTGCGCCGCCTGGTCCGGTTGTTTGGGACGGTGCATCGTGGTCTGCTGCTCAGACCGGACTCAAAACAGCGCGAGGGCTGCAGTTTGAAAACGGTGGTCCCGCAGGAATATCTGATAGCACATATGTGACTTTACCATTAAGTCAAAAGCTAAACAAATGTGTGCTGTTCGTGAAATCTGTTCCAGAAGATCTTATAATTAATATCAGACATGTATTGTAGGCAGATCACTTCACGTTTACTCCTCTTGGATCGTTTGTAAAAAGTCAGTGTGAACATGAAATTAAACGCAATGTTTCCCTGCAGTGAAAGCAGCTGCAGCCTGTATTTCGCCCTGTTCAGTTTGCGTATTAGTAGCTTTAACTTCTTTTTTATTAACATATATCTCTTGAGACCGTGTGTTTATTTGCCTTTTCAAAGACTTCTCCAGTCAACCGAGTTTAAAAAGCGGTGAGCTCACCTGCAGCTGCGCCCTGTCGGCTGATTCCCAGCAGAACCAGAAAAACCAGGATCTTCATTGTCTCATTAAGAGCTTTGATGGGCAGCTTTGAGAAACTGTTGGCTCACCGGTCCACGCACCGAGGCTCAAATGAGCGTGAGAAGCAGGAGCGCTGCTGATGATATCAATCTCCATCTGAGCCAATGGGGATTGAGGCTGAGCATCAACGTCAAAATATTCCAAGAGGTTTGCAGACCTCCTCTGTCAGACCGGACAGGAAATCCACACAGAAAATACAAAATAAAAGTGTGCGATTTGACAGGAAACGCATTCAAAAATTAAAAAAATTAAATCATGTAGACATTTATAGAGGAAGGGATTTTGAAGTTGATTTAGATTTAATTATTTAGGATATTTTTTTACAGGCTATTTATTTATTCTGTCAAAATAGGACGTTAACTCCGCCCATACAGCCACATCCATTCACAGAAAAACATTGTCGTTGATTGTAACTTAGCCTCTCTTCCAGTCTTCTTAAACACACACATTTCTCATTCATAATTTCCCCTTGAAGAGTAATATCGGCTATACTATAGCATGTTACTGCTATCAGCTGAATTTAATAGGAAAAACTGATAACTGTGGGAACTGGACTACAATTTGACCTTCGTCGGGGTCTGTAGTATAACGAAAGTTACCAGCTGGGGTTAATAAATAAATAAATAATAGCCTAATCCTGTACAGACCGTAGACTGTATATAAAAATAATGTTATTTTGCAAAACTAGATTTTGTTGAGACCAACGTTAACAGTTAACTATGTATCAGGTGATTTATGTAAAAAAAAAAAAAAGGAGCAAAAAGACTTGAATTAACAAATTCCTGTTGTTATAAATCATTTTTTCTGGATTCTTTCTTTATATTACATCAAGCAAAAATCATCTGCCAGAAATGAGGTTTGGAATGAAACACACAAAGACACTCCCAGTGCTCAAAGGCTTCCTGCGCGCACACACACACACACACACTTCCTGCTCAGAAAACCTTTTGTTCCCACATAATGTCCCAGTTACTTCCAGGACAGACTGCCAACAAAAACAAACCCCGCCCCCAGCCCCCTCCGATAACCTCCTATTGGTCGATAGATGAAACTAAAAGCATACTGGCTGGCGCTGTCCAGCGAGTTACATATGTAACCCTTGTTCCCCGAGAAGGGGAACGAGACACTGCGTCGGTGACGACACTATGGGAACGCCTCTAGGCGTGGCAGGGCTGAATTATGAACAAAACTACTCCAATCCTATTGGCGTTGCTCGAATGATAGCGTGGGTTGGCGTAACCGGAGGCGTATAAAACACGCCGGACAAACCAGCTCTTTGCTATGAAGTAAGGCGCTCCAGGCGGGGCGAGGCGTGGCGGACCGACACAGTGTCTTGTTCCCCTTCTCAGGGAACAAGGGTTACATACGTAACCCACGCCGAAAGCCTCCACCTGGCCCAGCGTGCAGTGACCTGTAGGCACGACTAAGAGGAGAGCGCTCGGGTGCCGGGCGCAGAAGGAAGGTCCAGACTGTAAAATCTGATGAACGTGTGCTGAGTGGCCAGCTGCCTCACACACATCCTCCTCAGAGATGCCCCTGAGAGCAGGGCCCTAGAGGCCGCCATGCCTCTAGTAGATTGCGCCCTCACGGCCATAGGTGAAGGCAAACCGCGCACCTGATAGGCCAGGGAAATAGCCTGAACTATCCAGTTGGTGATAGTGTGTTTAGAAGTGGGGAGCCCAGCCTTGGGGGATCCAAAACACACCAACAACTGGTCTGCTTTCCTCCACTGGGAGGACCTCAGAGTGTCTGACAGGGCAGAGCAGATGAAGTCTCCCGTCCTCCGCCGTCACATGAGGTGGGGGATGAAACGCCTGCAGCACCGTAGACCCTGCCATACTGGATGGCAGCTTAGGGATGTAGCCCGGACAGAGGTGCAGGACAGCCTTGACCTCCAGCAAACTCCAGGCATTGAGGAGACACCGAGAGTGCCCCCCACCCTCCTCAGAGTGGTGATAGCTAGGAGAAAGGCCATCTTAAGGGTCAGGTGCTTGGCCTCAGCCGACTCCAACGCTTCGAGAACCACTGCCAGGTCCCATGTGGGAATCCTGGAGCGAGTCACGGGTCTCATCCTCCGGGCTCCACAGAGGAAGCGCATGACCAGCCGGAGCCTCCCCAAAGGCCCCTCCCTCAGAGGAGGATGGAACGCCGTAATGGCAGCCATGTACACCTTGAGCGTGGATGGGGAAAGGCCAGCAGAGAAACGGTGCTGGAGGGAATCCAGTACCGCAATTACCGGGCAGGTAACTGGGTCCGCTGCCCATTCTCTACACCAGGTGGAAAACACGTTCGACTTCAGGCCATACGTCCTCCTCGTGGATGGAGCTCTGGAGTTGAGCAGAGTCCCCGCCGCTCACACTGTCAGGCCCTCCTCAAGGAACTGCGCCCCTCAGGGGCCAGACCCACAGCCTCCATAGGGCGGGGCAAGGATGAAAGACAGAAGGTCCCTCCTCAGAGGGACCTGCCACGGCGGGCCCTCCAGGAGCGAGATCATGTCCGAGAACCACACTCGGGCCGGCCAAAACAGGGCTACTAACAGTAGAGAGGGTGAACCACAGCGGACAGTGCGTAGTTTCTCGAGACGCAAACAGGTCCACGTCTGTTGGGCGTATCCGGCCGTCTTCAGAAAGAGGGCCGCATGAGACCTCAGCACCCTCAGGGGCAGGGCCTCGCAATGGCCGCAAGCCCCCTTGAGAGCTGCGTGGGCATGCGGCATCCCCAGACAAGACACACACAGTTGATGAGTGTCCCAGCTGTGATGTAGCGCAGGCATGGAAAGACACACTTCCGGAACTGCTCACCAGCCATGATCGTCTCTGCAAAACTTCCAGGTAGGACAAACTTCCTTGGTTGTTCGTGGAGCTTTCGACCTATCAAACATATCAGAGCGCCTGCTGAATAGTCCTGTGTGCCGGCGTGCTTTATACGCCTCCGGTTACGCCGTCCCACGCTATCGTTCAAGCAACACCAATAGGATTGGAGTAGTTTCATTCATAATTCAGCCCTGCCACGCCTAGAGGCGTTCCCATAGTGTCGTCACTGACGCAGTTTGAGTTCCCTCGAAGGGGAACTCTTTCTCTCTGAGAGTAAGACGTTCGGACGGATCTCATGTCTGTGTGTTACACAAAGCCGTGGCGGGATGCAGTTAGCCTAGCTTAGCATAAAGACTGGAAACGGGGGAACGCAAACAGACACATGAACACAACTCCAGCTCCAAGCTTACAGCACAGATCTTCTTGGCAAAAAAGCCTAAGTGTAATTCCCATAATGATGAACTATTACTTTAATAGTAAGGTGTGGCGATGAAGCTTAAGACACGTCCGTCCAGTGTGGGAGACCCGGGTTCAATTCCCACGGCAACATTCACTTAACCCTAGTTTCTCCAGAGGCGTGTTAAATATTAATTATTATACCTGGACATAATATCAGTGATCTCTGTCGGTGCTTTGATGACAGTTTTAAATAACTTTTGTTATGTTTTGGTGCTATTTAAATAAAATTAATTGAATTTAAAGGTTATAACAAACATGTCATGAACAGCACGAGTTGGTGAAAATGGATATTAATAAATAAATACTGCGTTTGTGTACATGTAATATTTACTGAAATACACAGTTCGATCTCAAAACGTTGTGCACCGTTTTCAGATTGAACTACATGTGTCCTTGAAATGTTGCGCAACGTTCTGCTGCGACAAGTTTGTAAATACAACGGTGGAATAAAGGCAGGAAAATTCAGTGTGCTTGCGTACACAACAGGGTGTTCAGGGGACCACTGTTTCTGCTGAAGAAAACGTTTTGCTACGTTTTGTCTGTGCTAACAAAACAAATGTAACACATGCTTTTTATTGACTGTTTTGAGCTTTAACGTCTTGTTTGTCCTTCAGTTCCGTCAGCTGTTGGAAATCTGTCGCTAGGTGAAGCAGGAACAGCTGAACTGACCGTCACCTGGAGCCCCGCCCCCGGAGACGTGGACCACTATGAGGTGAGCGTTTGTATTGCTGTTGATTAGAGTCTGTTTTAGGCAAAGAACTAACCATATTATCAGGAAGTGGACTTTAAAAGTGATTGTAAGTGTTTAATATCGCCTACTGACTTTTACTGCTTAACTTTTACAGCTACAGTGCAAACAGCAACTTGGAAACTACTTAAAAGACATTGTAAACAGTGTACTAACAGCTGAGCAGCTTTAAAGTTTAAAGATTTATGATTATTTAGAAGATTAATTAAGAATTTAAAAAGTCACAGTGCATTCAAACTGCACGCAGAGACTTAAATATGAATTTATGTCAGTATGGGAAAAAATAAATCAACCAAAACATTGTTTATAGAGATTTTAGGGGTTTAAACTAATAATTCGCGACACTTCTACATATATAAATATCCATCCGGCAAATTTCTGCTGCTGACGTTAAGCTTCATGTAGTCACCATAAACGCAGACATTAACTGAGAACGTTCATTCTGTATTTTGAGGACAAATATTTTAGTGATCGCTGCTGCCTCAGAGGAGTTTTAGTCCTGCTCTTCACTCTGCTTGTCTTCAGGTCACTCTGCTCTTCAACGACACTCGGGTTTTCCCTCCGGACGTTCAGCGGGCCGTACCAGAGGGCGCAGTTCATCGAGGGGCAGACAGGTGAGGCGATCGCCTAACTTTGATTTTAAACATCTTGAGTCCGGCTCTGCTGAACCCAGACTGTCCTCTCCAGTCCCCAGTGCAGTCGGGAACCGTCATCTGGGGCCTCGCTCCGGCCTGACGGACTCCGGCGGGCTGTTGGTCTCCTGGACGCCTGGAGACGGAGACCTGGACATGTACAATGTCTCTTTGTCCTGTGGTGTCCGAACAATAATGCTGCGATGATGTGTTGAGAAGAAATCCGCTTGATACTGTTCTTGTTCATAACAGTTTATTAAATCAAGGAGTTCAGCATCAATTACAAATGCAGCAGCTTGGAGAGAGACCCAGCCCGATGGCCACTCTGTCTCTCTGTACATCAAACACAGCTTATATAGGACATGTTTAGGTATCTGGTACCAGAGAAGGGTTCAGTACTATTCTGAGGTAACATAACATGGGGTCAGAGGTCAAATTCTATAGAAGGGTTCACTCCCTACATAACCATCAATCACTACTCCCCCCTAACACGGGGTCACTGACCTTCTGTCCAGCTGCTAGAGTCAAATGCACATATGTTATACACCACAGTCCACCACGGTGAGTCCAACTAATTCACAGTAAAAGAGTAAATTCAGTATTTATTCAAAGAGAGCAGAAAAACCCCTGGATGTATGAAGTCATCTTTTAAAGAAAAAAGCACTTCAACTTAAAACAAGTAGGTGAAAATGAAGCAGTCGTGTCGCCATGACAATAACTTAGACCTGTGTGTATACTAACATAATAACTAAATAATTAAATAAAGTAAATCTTCTTCTTCTTAAAACCTGCTGCAGGAGGATGTTTAAAAGTGGCGATAGAAAAAAGGCCAGAGAAAATGTATTTTCTTGTTCAGGACCAGCGATGAAAAGATTTTTTTTTACTCTCCTTGAAGAAACTATGAAATAAAAAATACATTTTCTAGCTTCTTATCCCGTGTCCTTCGTGTGTACGTTGTTTAACTCCTCCCTCAGTGGCAGAAACTCATTAAACTGACATACTGCGCAGTATTCTCTGTTTTAATACTTAATACCACTATTTATCATTACACTTCTGTTAATACTTTAAAATACAAATAATCTGCACTCCTCCTATATTTTACTTATGTTTTCAGATTTGTACATTTCTTACATTTTCTACTTACCGGCTTTCTATTATTATTTCTATTCCTTTCTGCCTCGATGTGCTTAGTGATCAATGGTAACACAAGAGTTTCCCCTCAGGGATCATTTCTGATGAATAACATAACAAATATAAAATATATAAATATAACAAAATCCATCTTTCCTCTTCCTCCTACAAACATTTATCAAATCTATCAGCTAGCCGGTATAACGGCACTCGACCCGTTAGCTTGTGGGTTTAAGTTGTAAACAAAGCAGCTTGTTTTCATTTCTAAAACATGGTCGTCTAATCTGATCTTTGATGGGACTGATTGTAACTTTACACCTCTCACAGGACAAAAGATAAAGATGCTCCAGTATTTGACATCCAGGAGACGAGTTAAGAGACGGAAGATTATTTTGTGTCTCCCGACTTTAAAGGAAAATATAGAGATGGTGGATGAAAGATTGATCAGTGAACTGGTGAAAGGATGAACGAGGGAGAGAAATGGATGAACTGATAAGACGGTGGTTTCATGAATATTCTTCTGTCACATCCTGTTTCCAGGATGGCGCCATCGTCAAGACTCGCACTGTCCCTAAACACGTCTCCTTCCTGGACTTTGTGGATCTGATCACACGCCACAGAATTTGATCATAGACTGTATATAGGATTTGATCTGATTCATTTAAATTGGAGAAAAACCTTTAAAAAGCTGATTACTGTATTTCCCCCCTGCAGCTCCGGCCAGAGTCACCGCCCTGCAGGCGGATAACGACCACACCACCCACAGTCTCGCCGTCAGCTGGGAGAAGCCGTCGGGCGTGTACGACGGCTACAGTCTGCAGTTATTGGACGACATTAACATTAACATTATTATTATTATTATGTACATGTCGGAGGTGGACGTGATATAAAGGCACACCTACATGCATACATGTACACAGTGTGATGGAGCATAGTGCAAAGGATGCAGGTATAAATAAGTAAGTCTTCTGTGCTGAGGTAGGTGGGTGCACAGGAATTGTTCCTGACAAGGTGAGGCAGAAATCAGCTGTTCATCAGAGTGATGGCTTGTGGGAAGAAACTGTTTCTGAGTCTGTTGGTTTAATAATAATAAATAATCCAGCCGTCGAAGCGTCATTAAAACGTTAAACTATGTTTTCTGTAAAGATACTGAAGGTAAAATGCATTTAATTCCTGTAACCAGCTCACACACACGCAGCAAACATGTGGCGCTGCGAGACTTCCGCATAGTTACTCTATGACGCACTCACCTCCAGCCAATGGCAGAGTGGGAACCGCACAGTAACATTCGCATATCCTGCATTTAAGAAGAACCAGCGCCGCCAGACCGGCTACAATTGACTGCGAGCAGAGAAATTGTGACCATGCCTGAACCAGCGAAGCCAGCGCCCAAGAAGGGCTCCAAGAAAGCCGTGACCAAGACCGCCGGCAAGAAGGACAAGAAGAGGAGGAAGACCAGGAAGGAGAGCTACGCCATCTACGTGTACAAGGTGATGAAGCAGGTCCACCCCGACACCGGCATCTCGTCCAAGGCCATGGGCATCATGAACTCGTTCGTGAACGACATCTTTGAACGCATCGCCGGGGAGGCCTCCCGTCTGGCTCACTACAACAAGCGCTCCACCATCACCTCCAGGGAGATCCAGACCGCCGTCCGCCTGCTGCTGCCCGGAGAACTGGCCAAGCACGCCGTGTCCGAAGGCACCAAGGCCGTGACCAAGTACACCAGCTCCAAGTAAACCCGCTCCACATCCCCGAGATACAGAAACAAACCAACGGCTCTTTTAAGAGCCACACACACTTTTCTGGAAGAGCTCAGTTCCATCAACATGTTCAGTATCAAATATTTTAACGTTCCCTGGTGGGAAATTGATTATAATTATTCACTGTATATATTAAAGAGTCAAAATAACTACAAAATAGAAAATGTCTATGTTGTGGGATTTGTATAGTAACAGAAATGATAAATACATTGTTGCCTTGAGATTATGTTCAACTGTAGTTGTGCATGTAGTAAATACAAAACCATCTAACCAGAAGTGCTTCAGCAGTAATTAAACATGATGCAGTAACATACAGAGTGCACAGTATGAATGAGATATACATATGACATGAATGTCTAATGCTGCAGGTTGAAACAGTCTGACTATAGTGTGTGTGTGTATACAAACATAAATATAGAAATATTAATACTGAAAAGTTAAAGGGATCAGAAATGTACAAATATACAAAAAATACAGTGTAATTAACAATACATCATTAATTATAATAGTACTGGTAGAGTTGACTGTTAATAAATCAAAACCACAGTTGGGTGTTTAGGTGGGTGTAGAATTAATAAAGAAGTTATATTTAATATATACATTATATTTCAGTCACTTCATATGGTTAAAAAAAGACAAAACAAGGTCAACATATAAAGACCACAACTATTAGTTGAAAGCTAAGCTTAGGCTTAATCTTAATCAATTATGAGTTAAGCAATTACATAAGCTGTCCTGACATTAGTGCTACTGTTTTATCTAAATAAGTTGCATCACATTCTTTTTAATTACTGTAAGTGCGTAGTGCTGTATGGTGCAGGTGATGGGAGTTACGGGTATCACAAGGGAGATGGATCTTCATTTAGCACCAAGTCTGCTGGACACTGTGTTACACTTCATTCTTCATGTGCAGTACATTAAAATATTCTGTTATGATTGTTTAAAAATGGGGATATGTCCAGAAAAACTGTCCTAGTAGTACAACAATAACACCCATCAAGGTAGTATTTATCAATATACAACACAAGGTTGTATGAGGAAGTCCCTTCATGCTGCACACAGAACTTAACACGTAAGATAATTAAATGTATATTAAAATATGGTAGAAGAAAATAAAACACTACAAAGCCGTTATTTAGCCTATATACAGTACAATGGAAGTATGGTTAGTAATTACTATAGTTTATTTCAAATAAATTGGTGTGTTTCTGCTTGGTTAGAGTGTAATTTGGTGTCTGTATTATATAAACATTGATGCTGTCATGCTCATCCTGTATGTTTAAGAAATAAGAAATATAGTCAGTTAAACGTGTTTGTGTTTTTTATGCTGATGTCAGGTGTCTTTTGAGTGTCGCTGTATAAATAAAATGTATTATTATTATTATTACACAGTCTGTATTTATAATAATATAATTATATATATATTATAATAAGGCATTGAGGTCTGGCTGTCATCTTGCATTAAGAGCAGTCAGGCCCGACCTGTGGACAGACTGAAGGCCACAGTAAGAAGTGCAAAACAAAATGGAGAATAATAATGATGTAGGCGTCAGCTCGCCCGACTGTGAAAGAGGAGGCCGCCAGTCGCGTTTATTGACCGTGTACCGAGTGTGAACCTGAAAAATCATGTCTGGGAAAAAAACGGGGCTTAAAAATGTAATAATAATAGATAATTAGACACATTTTCACTCTTCAGAGGCCGTTTCCTGTTTCTATCCTGAAGGAGAGCGGTGACGTCAACTGTTTCTTTTGTTTACCGTTCCCGCCCACAGAGAGCCGTTAGTCCTCAACTACGTCCGCAGACTGACTTTAAGTACCGGCGCTCAGGACCCGTCAGCTACCAGTTTTTCCTTCGGAACGAACTAGACGCTGAGAAAATGAGCGGCCGCGGAAAAGGAGGAAAGGGACTCGGCAAAGGAGGCGCCAAGAGGCACCGTAAAGTGCTCCGTGATAACATCCAGGGCATCACCAAGCCCGCCATCCGCCGTCTGGCTCGCCGCGGCGGAGTCAAGCGGATCTCCGGTCTGATCTACGAGGAGACCCGCGGGGTGCTCAAGGTCTTCCTGGAGAACGTGATCCGCGATGCCGTCACCTACACCGAGCACGCCAAGAGGAAGACCGTCACCGCCATGGACGTGGTGTACGCTCTGAAGAGGCAGGGCCGCACCCTGTACGGCTTCGGAGGCTAAACCCGATCCTCTAACGACACAACAACCAAAGGCTCTTTTAAGAGCCACCCAACTACCTCAAAGAGCTCATTCCTTAAATCTTGAGACATCATACAAAAAGGAAAACTATATAAATATTACTTTTATTGTGTAGTAAGTGTTGGTGTGGATTCACTTGAACAAGAAGCTGATGTGAATAGAACATTTCTCAACAAAGATGTTTGATTTTTACATGGAAATAATGGTAAGCAGAAACTACAGCAAAGTGTACATATCTAAATATAAAGGAGTGAAAATGTACAGAAGTGTAAACTTGTTGTGATTAGGTGCTAGACATAAACATGCAGTGTCCATAAATATATGTATAAAAATACATAAATATGGAATAAACAGTAGGTTATTGACATGCATTACTCTGGATTTGTGGTGATGGTGCAGTGGATAAGACACATTCCTTTCCTGTGGCACACTCACCAATGGGTTCCTGAGCAAGACACTGAACGTGCGACCTATGACATATCAAGCAATTGTAAATCGCTTTGGATAAAAGCGTCAACTAAATTAATAAATGTAAAGTATTTGACTGTATTTGCGCACACACAATGTCATTATTACCATCGTAGCTCAAATACAGCCAGACATGAAAAGGGGTATAATTAGACCATCCTGGTGACAGTAAGATACTTATGATAAATCACACACTCACCCCTAATTACTGAGTTTAGATATGGATCTTTTATGAGTATTGATCCTAGAGCAGGAAACGCTGGTTCCGCATATAACTACCCAGAAGGGCATATCTGACATTTAAGGCAAAATGGAGATAGATCAAACGAAAGCTCTTTCCATTGCCAAAATGAAACGAGTGAATTCTTAATCAATTTGGAGTTATTGATTAAAAACCAAAACACTGAACATGCTAAGCCAGTTGGTGCTGACACCACATGTAACCCAGTTCCGTCAACCATGAGAAAAAACTGTTTTTATCTAAAGAATATCTATTATTAAACTTACTTAATGATGATTTTAAGAGTTGGATGGTGATGAAGAAAATGAAAATATCCAGACTTCAACATCAGTGAATATGATGAATATACTCTGCTCAAATAAATTAAGGGAACATATCAATGAACAAAATAGTTTAAATCTTTACTGCACATTGTACACTGTGCTCATTATTGTGGCCCCCACGCGCCTGTACGCACTGCCAACAATGTGTGGGCATGCTCCTGACGGTGTCTCTTCTCAGACCTGGATCAGAGCATCGGTGCGCTCCTGGACCGACTGTGGCGATAACCTGGCGGCGTAAGATGCACAATACATAAAGTCCCAGAGGTTCTCCATTGGATTCAGGTCTGGGGAACGTGAGGGCCAGTCAGTCCCTCATCCAGGAACTACCGTAGCAGGACAGTTATTTTCTAAATCATCTAGCTGATTTGCCCATATTAGTTAAAATTATGATTAAAACATTGTTCTCATGTTGCACAACTTTTGATTGCTAATGTGTGTTATAGAAAATATTTGCAGGTTTTAAATCTGTATTTAAGTAGAAATATGAGCAAACGTCTTCCATTTGAGGATTATGGAGGCCACTGTGCTCTTAGGAACCTTAAGTGCAGCAGAAATTTTTTTGTAACCTTGGCCAGATCTGTGCCTTGCCCAATTCTGTCTCTGAGCTCTTCAGGCAGTTCCTTTGACCTCATGATTCTCATTTGCTCTGACATGCACTGTGAGCTGTAAGGTCTTATATAGACAGGTGTGTGGCTTTCCTATCAAGTCCAATCAGTATAATCAAACACAGCTGGACTCAAATGAAGGTGTAGAACCATCTCAAGGATGATCAGAAGAAATAGACAGCACCTGAGTTAAATATGAGTGTCACGGCAAAGGGTCTGAATACTTATTTCAGTTTTTCTTTTTTAATAAATTTGCAAATATTTCTACATTTGTTTTTTTCTATCAAGATGGGGTGCTGAGTGTACATTACTGAGAAATAAAATGAACTTTTTTGATTTTTGGAAAATGGCTGCAATGAAACAAAGAGTGAAAAATTTAAAGGGGTCTGAATACTTTCCGTACCCACTGTAGTTTTCTAACTAACGTTACTGGCGGAGATAAATAAATAAATAGGGCTCAGATTAGGGGGGTGACGGCACACTTGGGTCATGAAAACAAGACAAAAATATATTTTAACAGTATTTTGATTAAATATTCGATGCTAAAATAGGCTACATCAGTGGAAGACTTTGAGTATTAAACATTTAATTTCCTGCATTCTGAAAAAATTTTCTGCACCAATTTATGGTGGAAATGTCTTTATTTATATGAAGGGAAACAAAATTAAGGCAGGTGACAATTCACAATATAAAGGAATATAATGCAGTTATCAGCTTTTGAACACATTTGCTTCTACTATATTTCAGTAGTATTGCAGGTTTTCTTATTGTGCATTGTTTCATTTTTATTTACCATTTCTTGTTGCCGTTTTTAAGAACATTTCACCCTCATAGATCAATATTATAGTATTCTGGTCTTGAAAACAGATAGGGTAGTGGGTAAGACATATGCCTTTAGTGTGAGTGATGGGTTTCAGACATTTGACCCCTAGTTGCTCCAAAAGTGCGCCCTCTGACAGCAGTTATGATTTGCTTTTGAGAAAAGCGTCTAAATGAGTGAGAATTACTTATTAAACACAACTCTGACAATCTGAAAGCATTAGTTGTATGGATCGTGTTGGACATAAGACGTTTTAAACGCGGGTCATTGTTTCAATGAAACCCCTACCAAGACGTGTAGATATCCAAAGTGACCAGTAGGCGTCACCGTGGGGACGGATGTCAAAACCACAACTGCCTCAGACGTTGCAAAACATCACTCAGACAGTGTGCAGCGTAATTCATTGGGAAAACATGGTAATTTAACTCCGTTTTATATGTGCCTGTATTTCCATGAGCAGCTGAGCGTTAACGTGGCTGCTTGTCTGTGTGGTGTTTGCAGGCAGGATGCAGCTCTTGGATGAGGTAGGTGGCTCTTAAAAGAGCCGTTGTGTTGTTTCCAGGTGTGGGTGTGTGAGTTTAAGCCCTCTCTCCGCGGATGCGTCGGGCCAGCTGTATGTCTTTGGGCATGATGGTGACCCTCTTGGCGTGGATGGCGCACAGGTTGGTGTCCTCGAAGAGTCCGACCAGGTAAGCCTCGCTGGCCTCCTGCAGAGCCATGACGGCGGAGCTCTGGAAGCGCAGGTCGGTCTTGAAGTCCTGAGCGATCTCCCTCACCAGGCGCTGGAAGGGCAGCTTGCGGATGAGCAGCTCGGTGGACTTCTGGTAGCGGCGGATCTCTCGGAGAGCCACGGTACCGGGCCTGTAGCGGTGGGGCTTCTTCACTCCGCCGGTGGCCGGGGCGCTCTTACGGGCGGCCTTGGTGGCCAGCTGCTTCCTGGGAGCTTTTCCTCCGGTGGATTTACGGGCGGTCTGCTTGGTCCTGGCCATTGTTGACGAGTCTCAGCTTTCTTCTTCAGAGAAGTAGTGATGAGCCCAGTGCCAGAGTGGCTGCTTTATATAGCGAGAGCTGGAGCGCGGGCAGCGCTGATTGGGCCAAATAGTCACGTGATACAGCGGGTCATCAGAGGGATGTAAAAAAAAAAGTCTACACATAACTTTATTGACTGTTTTATTTGAAACGTCACATATACATACACTTATAAACATGCACAATTATACGTTTCGAATTTAAATTTTGTGTTTACTCACTTTTATATTTATTAAATTGTGGTTCAACCTTTTATTGACATGAAACTTTGTAGTGAAAAGCAAACTAGATCTAATCAGAGATTAGCGGTTGTTTTTTGTTAAATGTATAAATAGTTACAATAATGTTGACAACAACAGCAACGAAGGTGTAGTTTTATTTGAAGACATTTTCATATATTAAAGTTTAATTGTAATGTGAGGTTTTTAAACACCACTGGGAAGTTTAGCATTGATGTTTCCTGTAGTTTTGTCATTAAGTCCTATTAGAGTTAGTTTGCTAAAACCAGTTTTTGACCTGTTGTATCATAATTTAATTTGGATTTTATGTAATAACTCTGTAAGAGTTTGTTTTTTTATATTACTGTATTTCCTTTTACTGTTCATGAAAAGCTTTTCTGCTTCCTGTGTTTTATCTTCTCCCCTTGTGAAAGGACTGTGTAAACATATAGTACTCTGTAAATAAATAAATATTGCTTACTTATAAAAAAAAGGTGTTGATGCTTTCTGGACTGTATCTTTACTTTGATGTCTGTCCTCATGTTAAACTTTTCTTCCAGTTAGGAATCATAACATATTGTGAGAATAATCTTTGGAAAAAGGCCAAATATTGTGTCTTCCTCTCAATATTGTCCCACAGTAGGTTGACCGCACATTAATTATAGGCTGGAGGAGCTCAGTCTGTGCAGCATGAGTGTTTGGGAGCTACGCAGTTTGCTTCTCACCACTTTGTGTTAGTTTGTGATCTTTTCTAAAATGCTGCAGAACTCACTGCGTTGCTGTAAAACCGCTGTTGATGGCTCTGAATTAAATAAACTTCTCATCTCGTTCCCGTGTACTCACATGTGCTGGTCCGCAGGCAGACTCTCTTCTTACCGGATATATAAACGGGCTTAATAAAATGTATGCAGATGATTCGATTGCTTGTGATAAGTATTTATAAATGAATGAGTGAATATTACTGCAGGGAACAAGCTGAACAGTCATTATGTACAAACAGACACATGGTTTAGTCTCAATATATCAGCGTACACAAAGAGGAAAGATCTCACTTTCCTGACTGCAGGTGCACAATTTCCCCTTTCAGCCGTTTGCACAGTTGGTTTTATTTCTTCCCCAGTAAAGCGCTTTGTGAACATGGACTTAGTGTGAATAAATATTACCTGTAAGAGGGGAGTTGATATTTGATAGTGGGCCAAAATATTGTGTCTTCCAGTCATTTCACACATCATGACCTGCTGAAAAGAGAAAAAGCCAGAGGAAATCTGCCTTTGGAGTATTTGTGTGGCTCTTAAAAGAGCCGTTGGTGATGGAGAGGAGGTGTTTTTACTTCTTGGCTGTTTTCTTTGCTGCTGTGGCCTTCTTGGGTTTGGCAGCTTTGGGTTTAACCGCCTTCTTGGGTGCAGCTTTCTTGGGAGTCGCTGGCTTTTTGGGTGCAGCTGCCTTCTTCACCGCCGCCGCCACCGTCTTCTTCTTGGGGCTCTTGGTGACCTTCTTGACGGACTGTTTCTTGGCTGCGGCGGGTTTCTTCGCCTTCTTCGGGGTGGACTTTGCCGCTTTGGGCTTCTTGGCTGCGGCGGGCTTCTTGGCGGCGGCGGCGGGCTTCTTGGCTGCCGGCTTCTTGGCTTTGACGGCGGCCTTCTTCACTTCCTTCTTGGGCTTTTCGGCGCCCTTGCTCGCCTTGAAGGATCCGGACGCGCCGGTCCCCTTGGTCTGCACCAGGGCTCCTTTCACCACCAGACTCTTGACGGCGCGCTTGATGTGGACGGCGTTGTGGTCCACGTCGTAGCCTTCGGCGGCCAGCGCCTTCTTCAGCGCCACGTAAGAAAGGCCTTTACGGTCCTTGGAGGCGGACACCGCTTTCAGGACGAGCTCGCTGGCGCCGGGACCGGACTTCTTGGCCGGCTTGGCCGCCTTCTTCTTCGGGGCTTTGGCCGGAGCGGCCGCAGGGGCGGCGGGTGCAGCGGGAGCAACTTCTGCCATTGTGTTTTCCGTTCGCTTCTCTCGACGAGTCACAGACGACTGATGGAGAAAACTCCCAGCGAAGGGAGGAACTTAAACACACCGTGAGAACCGTGGAGACTCAGCCCGGCCTGCCTCTCACCGCTGCAGCAGGAACACCGCGACACTTGTGTTTTCTCCTCACCAATAAAAGTGCAAAATACACAGCTGGAGGAAGGATTAAAGTGTACAACTGAAGCCAACCTGGAGCGGACACGTTTCTCTTCACGTGGGAGTCAAATAAAGCGCTGAAGACATTTGGATTTGGATTGGGAAGCCTTTAAACCTCTCCCAAACACTGCCGTGTGGGCCGATTCTCCGGGACTTTTCTCTCTAATTTCTCTCCTAAATGCTTTAAAATACATCAGAAACTCGCTAAAACCGGTCAGAGAGTGAGAAGAGATGTTTGTTCAAAGACCCAAAGTAAAAACAGCCCGCTCCTGTGGTGACTTTTGTTTTAAACAGAGCTTAGTTTGGTACCTGCAAACACACTCAGAGGTTCCTTGGAACAGCAACTGTGAAGTGCTGCGACGGACAGTCTGTCACTGTGTGCATCGTGAGTTTAATTCTGTTTTACAGTTCACTCCTACTGCTTCAACCTAAATCTATGTCTTAGTCATTAAAACGAATAAACATATAAATTAATATCTTCTTTGACTTTATCATCACTTTGGCCACATCTGTTGTGCTGCAGCAAACCAAGCTGCTCATGTGGCCCAAAGCCTTCAGGGAGCTGCAGAGAATCACATCATTTAACACGCAATTCAGTGTTTGCTATGAGATTATTTCAACTGTCTGTGCATTGCTTAATTGTTCATCGTACGTTTAGTGTTATTACTTGTACTAGTAGATAAATATCTTAACTAAAGCAAAAAAAAAAAACACAGGATGGTTTGAATTACCGTCAAATCAAAGGTCAGTTCATCTGTTTTACTTTTGCAAACCCAGCAAGCTGCTCATGTGGCCCCAGGCCTCCATAAAGTTGGAGTCAAGCCGAGAAACCCAGTTGAACCGGTTTCACAGTGAGACCAGCTGTGAGGAAGGCCAGCTGGGTGGTGGGGATGGAGCTGGACAGTGTGGAGACAGAACTGACTGAAAACCATCACGGACAACGTCTCTCATCGTCTCTACGCTCACGAGCCCCTTCGGCCACGGACTCATCCAGCCTCGAGCCTCAAAGCGCTCAGGAGGCTCTTTGGACGCCACGGCACCCGACACCTCCCATCTCCACTGACAGACTAGTTTTGACTGACTTGTTTGCACATATAGTTTGTACATATCTTAAATATGTGTGCAAATCCTCGTGTATATATTGTACATACTTGATCCATATAATTTACATGAATACAAATCTATTTTTTGATGCACACATAAATATCTAAATGTCATATTCTATTTGTCTTTATTTCATGATGATTATTCTTCTATAACAACTTGTATCTACATTTAGTCAATTTCATATTTTTGTTCATGGATTTCAGTCACGTGACTTTTTTGTTGTGGCCGCCATCTTTAGGACCGCTGCGCAGCGCCTCCTTCGTTAGAATGAATGATGTCGCACACTAAAATAGCACACCTCACCACCGACAAAAAGCTAATGATCCCAAAATTCATCATCTGGAGATGAAGAAAATGTTCTTGATCACAGGAAGGGTAAGTGTTTTATTCAAGTGATATTAACATTAACGTTACTCAAGCAAATAGCAACATAACATAAATCAACCACTACTGTAAATATAGCTTTTGCTAGATGTCTAGAATAACATCATGTCCCCATTTTAAACTACATGTTTTAATCTAGCGAGCTAACATGTAGTTTGTGAACTTCTGGTTAAAATTTGCAGGTGAAGCATTCACAAAGCCTCAGTGTAACCCCAACACACCCCTGGATCACAGTACAGGATGATGGGACTGTTTTAATGGCTCATTGTACCTGTAAGGCAGGTTTAGGAGAGGTATGCTCACATGCATCAGCTCTGCTGTATTGTGTGTTGGCTGCTGTTGATATCAGGGACGGGCAGGCTTGCACCCAGACGCCCTGTGCATGGGCACAGCCAAGTACGGCATCTGTCAGAGATGTCCAATATGCAGAGATCCAAAACATCAATTTCTGTCATAACCGAGAGCCCCGTCATGTTCAAGGCCCTGGTTTTCCTGATATTAGACCATCAGATGAAGAGTGCAGGATGTTTTTTGAGATGCTTCATCAGAGTGAGAAGCAAGAGTCTAAGCCAAAGAAAAGTGCCATCCTTTCTGTCACTGAGGGCCACTCCCACAGGTACACTGTGGTGAAATGTAACTAAATACATCCAATAACATGATGTATACTTTAATGAAGTATATTGAGGCTTATACTTTTTATTCCTTGGTCTAAGTTTCACGTCACAGCATATTTTTGCTTAAGTCAAATATCTGGGCACATCTTCCACCACTGTAGGTACACGCCAAAGGTGATGCAGCTGGACTTGCCCACTCCTTTGTCAACCTTACATTCAAGCACCTGGCTAGAGGTAGACCTGCCCACACTACTGGTTGAGACTTCCAAGGTCTTTGATAACCTACATCTGACACAGCAACAGGTAAATATTATAAAAACAGGTTGGTGTTAATATTTCCATTTGTCAATCTCTTCAGTTGAAAATCAAAGTAATCACTAGTAAAATTATTTCTGCCTGTGAAGTTGAAATTCATGACAAGTCAACTAACTAATGAACAAACTAACTTTTCCAGTGTTTGGTAGTTGAGGAGGAGACCAGGGAGCAGAGTAAAAGTAGGGTATGGTTTGATCAGAGGGCAGGAAGAGTCACAGCGTCGGTATTCTGCGAGGCAGCCAAAGCAAACAAACCCGTATCCTTGATCAAAAGGATTTGCTATCCGCTCTCTTCTCAGTTTTCCACTGAGGCAACAAGGTGCGTAGAGTAAAGCACAATTAAACATGCAGGTTGGATTTGTGTAGCTATGATGTAACCAGGTTAGCTATTCAAGTCAAAGAGAAGATTACAAGCAAATTATAAGCAAAGGCATTTATGAGTGGTCAGAGTGCAACACATTTAGGTAAATGTTGATAGGCATTAAATGTCATTCAGACAAATACAATACAATTTAATAAACAGTTTATATTAAAATTTTTGTCAGATGGGGTCAAGTGAATGAGGGAAGAGCAAGGGCAAACTATGTCGCTATGACGCAAGATCACCACGAAGACTTCCAGGTCCATCAACAACTAAGAGATGAATGATATGTTCATAGGGCTGGGCGATATAGACAAAAATGTTATCACATTTCATTTCATTCAATATTGATTATTCTCATGATAAATGTCAAATTATTATTTCTTTCAAGCTTAAAGGCAGATTTTTGCTCCAGAGTGAAAGTTGAAGAAACCAGGTGGTTAATTGTTGTTCTAAACCATATTTTTATGGTCAGAATGTGACAGACACTTGATGACAAACCGTGGATCACTTCACAAATCTGAGGCAGAACATTCAAAATTATTATGATACAATCTTTTTTCAACAAATGTGTTTTAGTAAAATTAAGTAAAATCTTTTTTAGTTCCTTTTCTTAAAAAATATTAATGCAAAGTAAGTAAAAGTGCTAATTTCGTTGTGATTCAAATGAATTAAATCAAACATTTATTGAACACATTTGTTATATTGTTATTGAGAAAAAGTGTGTGATAATTATCATTATTGTTTTATTGCCCAGCCCAATATCTACATCCTATCAATATCTGTACACAGTTTATCATTATACTGTATATACCTCCAGGTTCATGCATCAGGGTTCATCATCCACCCAGACCTCCCCTGGATTGGAGCATCACCTGACGGCATGGTAACATGCACTTGCCATGGTGATGGCGTGCTGGAGATAAAATGCCCATTCAACAGCAGGGACTGCTCACTCGCTGAAAGCTGCAAACACCCATCATTCTGTTTAGGCCTCAGAGAGGATGGGACAATGTCACTTAAGACAGACCACAAGTTCATGTATCAAGTGCAAGTTCAAATGCATGTGGCCACTGTGAGTTACTGCGATTTCATGGTATGGACACCGCAGGAGTTTTTCATCCAGCGGATCCAGTATGATCCTGTTTTCTTCCCTAACGCCTACCTCAAAGTGGCTGAGTTCATCAAAACCGGAGTACTACCAGAGCTGCTGGGGAAATGGTATACAGCACCACGGCATTCTCATACAGACAGGGCAACCACAGAACAGCCACCTGAAATGGGATGCTACTGCGGTAAACCTTGTGACACAGATGGCATCGCCTGCACATCTGGACAGTGTAGGCGGAAGCACTTTCACAGGTCTTGCCTTAAATTGAGCAGGGTGCCGAAGACATGGAAATGTGTGGAGTGCAGAAAAAAAGTGTAGTATTGCTTTAGTTTTTGATTAATCGGTTTCATCTTTTATTCGCTTAAATATCCTTTCAACATAACATTCATTGTTATGAAATAGTAAAGATGAATAAGAGCTATGTATTTTACTGCCAGCTGTTTTGTTTTATAGCAAATAAAGTTACAAAATACAAAAACAGTTCATATTTTGTGTTACACTTAAATTTTCTATTCTGAAGGCACTACAGATGGGCAAATGTTGCACAAAGCACAGCAGACTCTCACCATCTTGTCAAGAGATGTAAGCTCTCCTGGAGTTGTAGTCTGGCAAAGAGAGATGGGTATTGTACTTTGTAAGATTGTGTACTTGTTCCTCACGAGACCAATGACACGTTCTACATGAATCCGAACAGCTGCTAGTCCCCTCGTAGTCTCAAGTTCACTTGGGTGCAGTTGCTGTTTCCCTTTAGTGAAGGCAGGTATTTTGAGATGTGCACTGTACAAGCCCACGGCATCTTTTATGGTAAACCCTCGATCTGCTAGGACCACATCACCAGGTGACAGATGTTCCAGGTAGCCGCAGTTTTGGGTTATGTGCTTATCACTTGTTCGCCCCCCCCAACCAGTAGACACAAATGATATGACTCCCTGTGGAGTTATTGATATCAAAAACTTCACAGTATTATGATGTTTATACTGTGAATATGTTTGTGCTCGGGCTCTCGTGTTCTTAGGCTTCTCAATGAAAACTTCAAAGCAATCTATTATGGAAGTACAATTTCTGTAACTACTGTTTTTGAAACACATGGGTAAACTAATTTGAATCTGTTCCTTAATGGGCCACACTATGAATGAAGACAACCTACTGTACATTATATGTAGTGTATTATTAAAAATACGGCTTACAGTAGGCTTTGATACAAGAAATATGTGTGTGAGGAAGTGCAGTGGTAAATTCAATCTCATTCTCATTAGAGTCATTAAAAAGCAGAGAAAAGGAGAGATCCCAGGCCCCCCCTTTAGGTATCCCGACAAGAAGGTAAAGATGACCATCATCTTGGCATAGGATGGAAGTCCAGTTAAGTCCTGCACCATGTCATCATTGTCCTTGAAGGCCTCCTGCTGGAAAGATGACCTTCTTACCCTGTCCCGAAGCTGATAGACCTCAATCTGGTACACTCTTCAGTCAGTTTCTTTACAGCTGCTTGGCAGGCTTCATTGGAGCATGCTACACTGCTCTCAGTATCGATGGGGTCTTTACAGTAGCTGTGTTCCCCACTCTGCCCGCTCTCAGGAACGCTGTCACAGCAGTTAATGTCCATGTCAATAACGTTACTGTTATCACAGTGTGACGTTGTCAGATCGTCCTGGGTATACCTTCTCTTCCTTTTGACAGCTTGGGTTTGTTCAAATTTCTTGTGGCAATTGATTTTTTTTTGGCGGTGCTCAGGTGACAGGTATGCAAACAGACTTGGCACGTAATCGGGGCTCAGAGGATTATCGCTTTTCTTGCCTGCAGTGTTATGAGACACAAACAACACAATGACATTACCTAATTTGAAATAATTACTCGAACATTGGATATAGATTATAGAAATTTAAATTTGTCTGCAAAGCCATCGACATAGATTACCTGTTTTAATTAGTCTGAACACGTTCATTATTATGGATCTGGTGCTAATGTTAGGATAGCTAATGTTTGCTAATGCTGACGTTAGCTTAGCGATACTTACTTACCCGAAATAAAGTGCTCACTGCACAGCCTGGAGTGTTCTGTAGGAGTCCAGTGATCCCTCCTGATAACAGCAATCCATTTCTCACGACGCTCAGGGTTTTCGGGGATATTGTAAAATGTTAATCCATTACTTTTAGATTTGCTGTTATCACAGCCCACAGCACAGCAGATAGACGGCATTTTGGTACTCGGTCCTACAGATGGCGCCGCGACCACTGTGTGACGTCACATGATATCTAAGAATATGTTGTCTATTGTCACGCAGCAAGTCACCAAAGCAAATTCCTTCTAAGTGGCAATAAAGCTGTTTCTGACATTCACTCGTTCTACTTTCGTCATATTTTGTTCTGTCTTGTTGCATTATCATACCAGAAACACCTCTCTGTGTAATGCAACACAAACTACATCCTCCAAATTATAAACATCTTTCTCAAGTAGTCTCAACTAAAACTGAACTTTCTAACCAGCAGTGAAAGAAGTTTTCACATCCTTTAAAGTATTAATACCACTGTGAAAATACTCCACTGCACTTCAAACCTGAAGAGTACAGAACTATTATCAGCAACAGTAAAGTGTTTCTCTTTCATATCAGATGTTTCTGGATTAATATTCCTGCTGCATTAATGTGTTTGTTGCATTTTACTGCTGCAGATGTTTAAGGTTGAGCTCATGAAGGAAACTCTTCATCCTGCACATCATCACTAACACCTGGAGATAAGTGGTTTTCACTGTACAGGAAGGGGACGATAACCTGTCAGACATGTAGTGCAGAAAAAAAAAAAAAATAATGACAATATTACCTCTGAGATGTGGAGTAGAAGAAGTATAAAGTGGTAAAACATGTAGATATTAAAGTATCTCTTGTTTACTGCAGGACTGCTGCATCAGCTTCAGCTTGCTGAGGTTCTGTTCTGCACAAGATGTATTTTAATATTTGGCTACAAACCCCTTTGCAGTAAAACAGGTACTTTGATGAAAAGGCCACTTTTCAGCCGTGAGAACAGAAGAATTAGGCGATTTATAAAGTTAAAGTTGTTTATTGCCAACTTCTCAACATTTAAAACAAACATCCAACATAAAGTGCAACTTGTTGTCTTAATTAACTTGACAGCAAACATGGAGACTGCAGAACTGACGCGTCTGTAACTCGGAAACAGTCTCGGCAGAAGCAGACTCGGCCTAGAGGTCGTGCAGCTTCACCTGCTGGTCCAGCCTGATCTTCTCCTCCAGGCGAGGTCCGAACAGTCCGTGCGGACTGATGGGGCCGCTCAGCAGATGCTCCTGCTCCCGGGCAGAGAGGGTGGAGAGGGACAGCCACACGTTCCTCTGGATCAGGACCTGGCAGGCCATGATGTCGTGCGCGGCGGCCACGCAGCCCGACAGCTCGAGGATGGCCTCCGAGCCTTCTCGAAACAGCGCAGCAACATCCGGGGCCAGATGGTCGGCGAGCTCCGTCAGGTGGGAGGCCAGGACAGAGATGCCTTCAACGGCTGCGGCCGCCTCAGCCGCACACCGATGAGCGCGGTCGGTCAGCTCGAGGTTTGCTCGGTCCGTGAGAGACGGCACCTCACGGAGATACGCGAAGAAGCCGGGCTCCAGCGGGGGGACGGCGGGGAAGCCTTCTTCACTTTGGACACGCGCCCCGGAGAACCAGTCCCGCGCTGCACGCGCGTCCATCGCAGGCGGCGGAGGGACGTGCTGCTCTCGGATCACCGGAGATAACGGCACACAGGGACCACGAGGCCGGGAACCGACCACCGGAGCGTGCCGGGCCCCACCGGACTTCACTTTGCCGCTACGCTGCTGCTTCTTCCTCCTCTGGGACATCTTCAACACCTACAACGATCCGCAAACACAGTTTAATGAGACCTGATTTATATACCAGAGGGCTACCTGTTCATTAATCACCTGCTTGGTTTTACCCAATCAGGAGAGCGCGATGAAGCAGTGCGGCGTCAAGTTTCCAAGTTTAGGGTTTGGACCCCGGGACTTTATTGTTGGTGCTGATAGCAGCTGATAGGAGAGGAGGTCAAGCTAATATCAGGGATTTATTTACAACAGAACACTTACCTGTGAAACAGGAAGAATGTTCATCATCATCATCATCATTATTGTTATTATCATAGAATGGGGGTGTGGTTATCATCACCATGACAACCAGAAGTGCTCCAGCTAGTTAGTAGCTGTGTTCACGTCACAACTTTTAAAGTTTGCTGTCATGTAAAAGTTTTTTTCTTGTGGAAGGGTATAACACAAACTAATGTGGCGGCATGTATCAGTCATATTAACTCCACACCAAGTTTTAGTGGTGCTTAGAAAGAGAGAGAGAACTTTTCCCAAATATTCCCCGAATTCATATTTATATCAGACACACAGAAAGAAATGCCCAAATGTCAAATAATTGCTGCAAAATATATCTCATCATGCCATGAAGTGAGGACAACCTGTGGAAACTTAGACTAATTTTCAAATTATTATTATTTTCATTGTATGATATTTTAGTAATTGTTGTGTTTTTAAATCTCACATTTGATACTGATCTTTTTTTATGAACTAATGAATTGATTTTAGTTTTTTTTGCTTATTAATACACACACATAAACAGTTTTATCTATTCATTTTATTTTAATTTTTTAATATGTTACATTATACATATTGTGTATATATATACACACACTTAACTGTGTCATTTACTTAGTTTATTTTATTGTTTTATTTATTTTCATTTAATACATTATTTTCATTTTCTAACATACTAACACATACGTTTAACTTATTTTAAATATTTATTTTTAAGGAATATTTATATACACATATAGTTTTTATTCTTATTATTTTATTTAGTATTAACACACACAAACACAACTTTTTATGTTTTATTTCCTTATCTAATGAAATGTATTAAATTAATTGTCTTTGTGGACTTTCTATATAGCTTTGGTAGTATTGTTGCTATACATTCATGCCAATAAAACTAATTTGAGTGAGTGAGTGAGTGAGTGAGTGAGTGAGTGAGTGAGTGAGTGAGAGAGTGAGAGAGAGAGCGAGCGATCACAATTAGAATAAAACCCCGTGGACCAAGGTAATAAAGTAAATACTGATGCAGAGTGTTCAGCAGGTATCTGAATTTCTAAAGACATAAAAACTGAGTACAAGTAACACTGACCAGCGGTGGACAGTAACCAAGTACATTTACTCAAGTACTGGACTTAAGTACAAATGAGAGGTTACTACACACTGTGTGAGCCTGAAGAAGCAATGGGCGAAACCCCTCGCTCACAATAAATGCAGTAGAGTCAGATCAGTGCTTGTTTTATTCTAATTTTTCAGAGCCTTGTCCTGCTGTCTACCAGCACCTGACTGTTGTTGCTGTGCACAAGGAATTTCTTGTTTTATTACAAATTAGAGATTGATGCCACTTTCTACTTCTACTCCACCTCATCTCAGAGGGAGATATTGTACTTTTTACTTACTACATTTATCTGACAAAACCAACATTATTTGGGCTCTGGGTAGCTGTGCCGTCATTTCTCACAATTTTCATAACTTTTACAAACAATCAATTGAAAAATGAATGGAAAAAATAATCAGCAGATAAATCTATACTGAGAATCATTATTAGTTGTAGTCAGATACAAATTTGTTCAGAATGAGCTTCAGCTCAATAACTACAGCAGTGAGATCCTGCTTTTACGTGAATGTATGAGTAACAAACTCTCATGATATAAGTTTACTACTGTAAAAGTCACAGGGGACATTTTACTGCACTTTTACTACTTTAAGTGACATTTTCAGTGCCAAACTTTTATTTGTAACAGTGTGCTTTTACAGTGTGGTATTAGTACTTTTATTTAAGTAAAGAATCTAAATACTTTGTCCACCACTGCCACTGACAGGTGACGTGAATAACACTGATTATCTCGTTAACAATGGCACCTGTCAGTGGGTGGGATATATTAGACAGCAAGTGAACATTTTGTCCTCAGAGTTGATGTGTTAGAAGGAGGAAACATGGGCAAGTGTGTGAAAAGTGGAGGTCAAACCGAGTGTCAGAATGGGAAAGAAAGGGGATTTAATCTGTTCTGCTGTAGCAAACCAAGCTGCTCGTGTGGCCCAAAG